CAAACCCCACTGGGACCCCAAACCCTCCAGGGACCCCCAAACCCCTCCAGGACCCCCCAAAACCCTTCTGGGACCCCCTAAACCCCCCTCCTGAGAACCCACAAAGCCTTTGGGACCCCAAAACCCCACTGGGAACCCCAAAACCTTCCCTGGGAACCTCCAGACCTGTTAGGACCCCAAAACCCTTCTGTGAACCCCTCACACCCCTCCAGGGACCCCCAAAACCCCTAGGACCCCCCAAACCCCTTTGGGACCCCCAAGACCCCAAACCTTGACGTTGGAGGGTCGAAGAGCCCTCGGGGATGCGGAGCCGCTCGGCCCCGTAGTCGGTGTTGTACCCGTGGGCATCTCGTAGTGGACCGTGGGCATCTGGGCAGCCACCCTGGGGTGGGGAGGGGGCAAAGGGGGTTGGGGGTGGTTTTGGGGTCTCCCCCCGCCCTAAATTCACACCCAGGACCCCCAAAAACGCCCCCCTTGCCCCCTCCTCTCACTCACTGCTCGTCGTAGGGCGAGTCCGACACCTGGAGCACCGAGGCCTGGAAGTCCTGGATCACCTCCTGGGAGGACCCCCAAAAAAAAGGGGTAAGGGACCCCAATTTACACCCCCTGCCCCCAAAATTCCCCCCTTTTCCCCCCAGACTCACGTTGCAGGTGAAGTTGTGCCAGGATTTGGACACCTGGGGCAGCTTCTCCTTCTTCTTCCAGCTCGGGGGGGCCCCTTCGCGAACCGGCTCCTGATTTTGGGGGGGGGGGAAAAAGTGGGGACCCTGGGAACCCCAAAACCTCCCTCCTGGGAACCCCAAAAACCCCACTGGGAACCCCCAAACCCTTTGGAACCCCAAAAACCCTCTGGGAACCCCCAAACCCCACTGGGAACCCCAAAAACCCCACTGGGAACCCCCAAACCTGTTGGGACCCCAAAACCCCACTGGGAACCCCCGAACCCCAAAACTCCACTGGGAACCCCAAAAACCCCCTCTGGGAACCCCCAGACCTGTTGGGACTCCAAAACCCTACTGGGAACCCCAAAACCCCCTCTGGGAACCTCCAAAACCCCCTCTGGGAACCCCCAGACCTGTTGGGACCCCAAAACCCCCTCTGGGAACCCCAAAACCCCCTCTGGGAACCCCAAAAACCCCACTGGGAACCCCAAAACCCTACTGGGAACCCCAAAAACCTTGGTCAGGAGGGGCGTGTCCCCCTCATTAGCATACCCCCATCATTATACACCTCATTAGCGTGACCCTCATTAACACCCCCTTAATTAAAGAGGGGTGACAGAGCCCCAAATCTGACCCTTTTTTACCCAATTTGAGAACATGGGGTGTGGTCCACGGGCCACGCCCTTCTTGGCCACACCCCCAGGGCCACACCCTTATTGACCACGACCTTTTGGACCACGCCCATCCTGGCCACACCCACCGGGCCACGCCCTCCTTGGTCACACCCCCCGGCCACGCCCTTCTTGGCCACACCCACCGGGCCATGCCCATACTGGCCACGCCCTTCTTGGCCACACCCCGAGGGCCACACCCTTATTGACCACGTCCTTTTTGACCACGCCCATCTGGGCCACGCCCTTCTTGGCCACACCCCCGGGCCACGCCCATCCTGGCCACGCCCATCCTGTCCACGCCCACCGGGCCACGCCCTATTTGGCCACACCCCCCAGGGACACACCCTTCTTGACCACACCCCCCAGGACCACGCCCTTTTTGGCCACACCCCCCAGGGACACGCCCTTCTTGACCACACCCCCCAGGGACACACCCTTCTTGACCACACCCCCAGGACCACGCCCTTCTTGGCCACACCCCCCAGGGTCACTTCCTTCTTGGCCACACCCCCCCGGACCACGCCCTTCTTGGCCACACCCCCCCGGGGACACGCCCTTCTTGGCCACACCCCCGGGCCACGCCCTTATTGGCCACACCCCACAGGGACACGCCCTTCTTGGCCACACTCCCAGGGACACACCCTTCTGACCACACCCCAGGACCACGCCCTTTGGCCACACCCCTCGGACCACGCCCTTCTTGGCCACACCCCCCAGGGACATGCCCATCCTGGCCACACCCACACCCCCCAGGACCACGCCCTTCTTGGCCACACCCCCCAGGGACACGCCCATCCTGGCCACGCCCCCCCGGACCACGCCCTTCTTGACCACACCCCCCAGGACCACGCCCTTCTTGACCACACCCCCCAGGACCACGCCCTTCTTGACCACACCACACACACACACACACCCCCCGGACCACGCCTTCTTGGCCACCCCCGGACCACGCCCTTCTTGACCACACCCCCCAGGAACACGCCCTTCTTGGCCACACCCCACAGGGACACGCCCTTCTTGGCCACGCCCTTCTTGGCCACACCCCCCCGAGCCACACCCTTCTTGGCCACACCCCCAGGGCCACACCCACCCTGGCCACGCCCCTTTTGGCCACGCCCACCTTGGCAGCGATCATGTAGGGGGGGACGATGTCGATGTTGAGCTCCTGGAAGAGCTCCCGGCACTGCATGGAGATGAAATCCCCGGCCAGGGGAGACTTCACGATACCTGGGGGGAGAAAAGAGGGGTTTGGGGGGGGTTCTGGGACCACCCACGGCTCACCTGGACCAGGTGTGACCCAGGTGTGATCCCCCCTGTCCCAGGTGTGTCCCAGGTGTGTCCCCACCCCCAGGTGTGATCCCACGTGTCCTCAGCTGTGTCCCACCCCCCAGGTGTGTCCCAGGTGTGTCCTCCCACTTCCAGGTGTCCCCTCACCTGTCCCAGGTGTGTCCCAGGTGTGTCCCACCCCCAGGTGTCCCAGGTGTGTCCCCACCCCCAGGTGTGATCCCCCCTGTCCCAGGTGTGCCCAGGTGTGTCCCACCACCCCCAGGTGTGTCCCAGGTGTGATCCCCCTGTTCCAGGTGTGTCCCAGGTGTGTCCCACCCCCCCAGGTGTGTCCCAGGTGTGTCCCCCCCCCAGGTGTGTCCCAGGTGTGTCCCAGGTGTGTCCCACCCCCAGGTGTGTCTCACCTTGCTGCAGGATGTACCCATCGTGCACAGGGATGGCCGTGGTGTGGGTGTGTCCCAGGTGTGTCCCCCTGACCCAGGTGAGTCCCAGGTGTGTCCCCCACCCCAGGTGTCCCTCACCTGTCCCAGGTGTCCTCACCCTGCTGCAGGATGTACCCATCGTGCACTGGGATGGCCGTGGTGTGGGTGTGTCCCACCCCCCCAGGTGTGTCCCCCACCCCAGGTGTCCCTCACCTGTCCCAGGTGTCCCTCACCTTGCTGCAGGATGTACCCATCATGCACAGGGATGGCCGTGGTGTCAGGTGTCCCTAGGTGTGTCCCACCTCCCAGGTGTATCCCAGGTGTATCCCAGGTGTATCCCAGGTGTGTTCCAGGTGTGTCTCACCTGTCCCAGGTGTGTCTCACCTTGCTGCAGGATGTACCCATCGTGCACAGGGATGGCCGTGGTGTGGGTGTGTCCCAGGTGTGTCCCAGGTGTGTCCCACCCCCCCAAGGTGTGTCCCAGGTGTGTCCCAGGTGTATCCCAGGTGTCCCTCACCTTGCTGCAGGATGTACCCATCATGGACAGGGATGGCCGTGGTGTGGGTGTGTCCCAGGTGTGTCCCCCACCCCAGGTGTGTCCCAGGTGTATCCCAGGTGTGTCCCACCCCCCCAGGTGTGTCCCAGGTGTGTCCCACCCCCAGGTGTGTCTCACCTTGCTGCAGGATGTACCCATCGTGCACAGGGATGGCCGTGGTGTGGGTGTGTCCCAGGTGTGTCCCACCCCCCCAGGTGTGATCCCCCCTGTCCCAGGTGTGTCCCAGGTGTGTCCCAGGTGTGTCCCACCCCCCAGGTGTGTCCCAGGTGTGTCCCAGGTGTCCCTCACCTGTCCCAGGTGTGTCTCACCTAGGTGCAGGATGTCCCAGCTGTGCACAGGTGACTGGCCGTGGTGTGGGTGTGTCCCACCCCCAGGTGTGATCCCACCACCCCAGGTGTGTCCCCCACTCCCCCAGGTGTGGTCCCTGCCCCAGGTGTGCCCCAGGTGTGTCCCAGGTGTGTCCCAGGTGTATCCCACCCCCCCAGGTGTCCCTCACCTGTCCCAGGTGTCCCTCACCTGTCCCAGGTGTGTCTCACCTTGCTGCAGGATGTATCCCATCTGCACAGGTGATGGCCGTGGTGGGTGTGTCCCATCCCCCAGGTGTGATCCCACCACCCCAGGTGTGTCCCCACTCCCCAGGTGTCCTCACCTGTCCCAGGTGTCCCTCACCTGTCCCAGGTGTGTCTCACCTTGCTGCAGGATGTACCCATCGTGCACGGGGATGGCCGTGGTGTGGGTGTGTCCCTACCCCCAGGTGTGTCCCACCTCCCAGGTGTGCCCACTCCCAGGTGTCTCCCACCCCCAGGTGTCCCTCACCTGTCCAGGTGTGTCTCACCTTGCTGCAGGATGTACCCATCGTGCACAGGATGGCCGTGGTGTGGGTGTGTCCCACCTCCCAGGTGTGTCCCCCACTCCCAGGTGTCCTCACCTGTCCCAGGTGTCCCTCACCTGTCCCAGGTGTGCACTCACCTTGCTGCAGGATGCACCCATCATGCACAGGGATGGCCGTGGTGTGGTGGCCCCCGAGTCGAGCACCCAGCCCTGCAAGTGCTGCCTGCTGGCGAAGCTGTCTCGGGGTCAAGGGCCGTAACCTCCTCAAACAACCCTAAACCCACCCAAAAATCCCTGAACCACCCAAATACCCTGAAACCCACCCAAAAACCCCCCTAAACCACCCAAATCCCCTCTAAACCACCCAAATGCCCCAAATCCCACCCAAAAACCACCCTAAACCACCCAAATGCCCCCAAAATACCCCTAAACCCACCTAAACGCTTCCCAAATACCCCTAAACCCACCCACCCAAAAACCCCTAACTCACCTAAATGCCCCAAAATACTCCTAAACCACCCAAATACCCTGAAACTCCACCCCAAGACCCCCCTAAACCCACCCAAAACCACCCTAAACCCACCCAAAAACCACCCTAAACCCACCCAAAACCACCCTAAACCCACCCAACCCCCTCCCTGGCCCCTCTTGCTCAGGGGTGTTTTTGGGGTGGGGTTGGGGTTAGGGGCTGACTCCAGGGGTGACCCTGGGGTCTTGGGGTGATCCTGGAGGTGACCCTGGAGTTTGGGGATGACCCTGGGGGTCTCAGGAATGACCCTGGGGATTTGGGGGTGACCCTGGGGGTCTGGGGGTGACCCTGGGAGTTTGGGGTGACTCTGGGGTCCCTGGATGACCCTGGGGGTCTAGGGGTGACCCTGGGGTCTGGGTGACCCTGGGGATTTGGGGATGACCCTGGGGGTCTGGGGATGACCCTGGGAGTCCAGGGGTTACCCTGGGGGTCCCTGGATGAACCTGGGGTGACCCTGGGGTCCTGGGGTGACCCCTGGGGTCCTGGGTGACCCTGGGGTCTGGGGGTGACCCTGGGGATTTGGGGGTGACTCTGGGGGTCCCTGGATGACCCTAGGAGTTTGGGGATGACCCTGGGGATTTGGGGGTGACCCTGGGGGTCCTGGGGGTGACCCTGGGAGTTTGGGGGTGACCCTGGGGGTCCCTGCATGACCCTGGGGGTCCGGGGTGACCCTGGCGGTCCGGGGGTGACCCTGGGGATTTGAGGGTGACCCTGGGGGTCCAGGGATGACCCTGGGAGTTTGGGGATGACCCTGGGGGTCTGGGGATGACCCTGAGGGTCCGGGGATGACCCTGGGGGTCCCTGGATGACCCTGGGGGTCTGGGGGTGACCCTGGGGGTCCGGAGATGACCGTGGGGACCCTGGGGGTCTGGGTATGACCCTGGGAGTTTGGGGGTGACCCTGGGAATCTGGGGGTGACCCTGGCGGTCCCTGGATGACCCTGGGGGTCCAGGGATGACCCTGGGGGTCTTGGGGTGACCATGGGGGTCCCGGGGGTGACCCTGGGGGTCCGGAGATGACCTTGGTGACCCTGAGGGTCCGGGGGTGACCCTGAGGGTTTGGGGGTGACCCTGGGGGTCCCTGGATGACCCTAGGAGTTTGGGGATGACCCTGGGGGTCTGGGGGTGACCGTGGTGACCGTGAGGGTTTGGGGGTGACCCTGGGGGTCTGGGGGTGACCCTGGGGGTCTGGGGGTGACCCTGGGAGTTTGGGGGTGACCCTGGGGGTCCGGAGATGACCGTGAGGGTTTGGGGGTGACCCTGGGGGTCCCGGGGGTGACCCTGAGGGTCCTGGGATGACCCTGGGGGTTTGGGGATGACCCTAGGGATTTGGGGATGACCCTGGGGGTCCGGGGTGACCCTGGGGTTTGGGGGTGACCCTGGGGGTGACCCTGGGGGTCCGGGGGTGACCCTGGGAGTTTCGGGGTGACCCTGGGGTCCTGGGGTCCCAGAGGGAGGGATACGCCGTCAGCACGGCCGTCTTGCAGAGGAAGAAGGCGGGGATGTTGTAGTGCTCGAACATCAGCTCCGTCAGCTTCTCCCTGCTTGGCCCTCGTGTTCCACTGCCCGGGAGGGGGTGGGGACATCGGGGGACATCAGGGTCGTCAGGGGACACCAGGGGGTCGTCAGGGACACCCTCCCTGGGTGTGGCACCTACCGGGGCCTCGGACATGAGCACGGGGTGCAGCCCCGGCTCCGACTTGACGTGTTTGCCGTAGGTGTGGTCCAGGATGGCCTGGAAACACTCCCAGTCCTCGACTGGGAGGGGGTGGGAGGGGAGGGGACACAGCCGGGTGACCCCCACCCCCTACCCTCCCCCCACCGCCATGGTGACCCCAGTTTGTAGGCACCAACACCCCTGAGATGTCCTCCACCCCAGAGGTGTCCCCACTGTGTCCCCAGTGCCCTCCCAGTGCCCCCAGTGTCCCCATGTATCCCCAGTGCCCTCCCAGTGTCCCCAGTGCCCCCCAGTGTCCCCATTATCCCCAGTGTCCCCCAGTGTCCCCATTATCCCCAGTATCCCCAGTGCCCCCAGTGTCCCCAGTGTCCCCAGTGTCCCCCATGTGCCCTCCCAGTGTCCCCCAGTGTCCCCCCAGTGTCCCCCAGTGTCCTCCAGTGTCCCCCCAGTGTCCCCAGTTATCCCCAGTGTCCCCTCCATGTCCCCCAGTGTCCCCCAGTGTCCCCCATGTGTCTCCCCATTATCCCCAGTGTCCCCCCAGTGTCCCCAGTGTCCCCCCAGTGTCCCCAGTGCTCCTCCAGTGTCCCCATGTATCCTCAGTGTCCCCAGTGTCCCCAGTGCCCTCCCCAGTGTCCTCCAGTGTCCCCATCGTGTCCCCCATTATCCCCAGTGTCCCCCAGTGTCCCCATTGTCCCCAGTGTCCCCCAGTGTCCCCAGTGCCTCCCCAGTGTCCCCATTATCCCCAGTGCCCCCCAGTGTCCCCATGTATCCCCAGTGTCCCCCCAGTATCCCCCAGTGTCCCCTCCAGTGTCCCCCCAGTGTCCCCACCCAGTGTCCCCCAGTGTCCCCCCAGTGTCCCCAGTGTCCCCCAGTGTCCCCCAGTGTCCCCCATTGTCCCCAGTGTCCCCCCAGTGTCCCCAGTGTCCCCCCCAGTGTCCCCAGTGCCCCCTCAGTGTCCCCCAGTGTCCCCAGTGCCCTCCCAGTGTCCCCCCAGTGCCCCCACTCACTCAGTGTCCGTCCTTGAGGGACAGTGTCCCCCACTGTCCCCAGTGCCCCTCCATGTGCCCTCCCAGTGTCCTCCCAGTGCCCCCTCCAGTGTCCTCTCCCAGTGTCCCCCAGTGTCCCCCCATGTGCCCCCCCAGTGTCTCCCAGTGTCCCCCCAGTGTCCCCCTACTCACTCATGCCGTCTCTGGAGGGCACAGTGTCCTCGACCTCCCAGTGTCCCCTCCCAGTGCCCCCGTCCCCCAGTGTCCCCTAGTGTCCCCCCCAGTGCCCCTCCCCAGTGCCCCCTCCCATGTGCCCTCCCAGTGCCCTCCCAGTGCCCTCCAGTGCCTCCCACTCACTCAGTGCTGCTCCTCGAGTGTCCCCAGGCTCGACTCTCCCCCAGTGCCCCCTAGTGTCCCCCAGTGTCCTCCCCAGTGCCCCCCCAGTGCCCTCCCAGTGTCCCCAGTGCCCCCCAGTGTCCCTCCAGTGCTCCCCAGTGTCCCCAGTGTCCCCCCAGTGCCTCCCCAGTGTCCCCTCTCATGTCCTCCCATTATCCCCAGTGTCCCCTCCAGTGTCCCCAGTGCTCCTCCCCAGTCTCCTCCCAGTGCCCCCCACTCACTCATGTCCATTCTCAGTGTGCCCAGGACCTCGACCCTCCCCAGTGCCCTCCCAGTCTCTCCCAGTGTCCCCCAGTGCCCCCCACTCACTCATGCCACTCTCAGGGGACATGACCTCGACCCTCCCCAGTGTCCCCCCCAGTGTCCCCCCATTGTCCCCTCCCAGTCTCCCCCAGTGTCCCCCAGTGCCCTCCCAGTGTCTCCCAGTGCCCCCCACTCACTCATGCCCTCTTGAGGGGGACAGACCTCGACCCTCTCCCCAGTGCCCCTCCATTGTCCCCATCCCCCAGTGCCCCCCAGTGTCCTCCCCAGTGCCCCCCAGTGTCCCCCAGTGCCCTCCCCCAGTCTCCCCCAGTGCCCTCCCAGTGTCCCCCCATTGTCCCCCAGTCTCCCCCAGTGCCCTCCCAGTGTCCCCCAGTGTCCCTCCCAGTCTCTCCCAGTGTCTCCCCAGTGTCCCCACTCACTCATGCTGTCTCCTGAGGGGGACAGGCCTCGATCCTCCCCAGTGCCCCCTCCCCAGTGCCCCCCCAGTGTCCCCCATTATCCCCAGTGCCCCCCAGTGTCCCCATTATTCCCCAGTGTCCCCTCCATGTCCCCCCCAGTGTCCCCCCAGTGCCCCCCCACTGTCCCCAGTGCCCCCCAGTGTCCCCTCCCTAGTGTCCCCCCCAGTGTCCCCATTATCCCTCAGTGTCCCCCAGAGCCCTCCCAGTGCCCTCCAGTGTCCCCAGTGCCCTCATTATCCCCAGTGTCCCCCCAGTGCCCTCCCCAGTGCCTCCCAGTGTCCCCCCAGTGCCTCCCCCCACTCACTCATGCCGCTCTTGAGGGGGGACAGGACCTCGACCCCCTCCCCAGTGCCCCTCCATTGCCCTCCCAGTGCCCTCCCAGTGTCCCCCAGTGCCCTCCCAGTCTCTCCCAGTGTTCCCCAGTGCCCCCCACTCACTCATGCCGTTCTTGGGAGGGGGACAGGACCTCGACCCCACCCCAGTGCCCCTCCATTGCCCTCCCAGTGCCCTCCCAGTACCTCCCAGTGCCCTCCCAGTCTCTCCCAGTCTCTCCCAGTGCCCTCCCAGTGCTTCCCAGTGCCCCCCCACTCACTCATGCCGTTCTTGAGGGGGACAGGACCTCGACCCTCCCAGTGCCCCCCAGTGCCCTCCCTGTGTCCCTCCCAGTGCCCCTCCAGTGTCCCCCCGGTGTCTCCAGTGCCCTCCCAGCCTCTCCCAGTGTCCCTCAGTGCCCCCCCCACTCACTCATGCCAGTTCTTGGAGGGGGGACAGGACCTCGACCCCCTCCCTGGCCACGTGCAGGGCGTTGGGTGTCGATGTAAAAACCTTCCCCCTTCTGTC